GGCCATGTGAGTCCGGCTCCCTTAGCCACTAGCCACAGGGTGGCCCTCTTTCAGTGACCTTCCCCGGACACTTCGTCCTAGCACCTACCAGGACTTCCACGCAGTTTCCTGGTTACTGTGCTGTGCAGCCGCCTACCCGTGGGCACTGCGGCTCCTGCTCGATCCCTCGTGAACAGCCTGTGCCCTTTCACCAGGACAGCCTGCAGGACGGATGCTCAGAAACAGCTTTTCTGGGTCAGAGGACTTGTATGCCCACACTTGTGGCCGTGTGGTCTGTCCCTGGGGTCACTGCAGTCCACACCCCTCCCAGCCCGGAGGAGGCTCCTCGGTGCCGCAGACCCTGGCATCGGCACCCACAGCAGAGACCTCCAGGGCCCTTGTTACCTGCCCCAACACCTCCCGAGGCTCAACTTTCCCAAGAAATGTCCCTGTGCCTGGGCATCCCAGGTCTCGCCTTGTGCTGGGTACACCCTGCCCTGAGGGCTCCAGGGTCAGAGGGAGCAGACGCAAGGCAGGAAGCTTCGCTCACGGGCTGCCCCTGTGTGCCTGGGGAGGGGATGAGATGAAGGAGGACCCGAGGTGCGCTGTCGGGTAGCAGGGCCAAGGGGCCATGAGGCCATGGGGAAATGGCACATGCAGAGGCCCTGACAAGCCACCAGAGGGGCATTTGAGACAGGGAGTGACAACTCCACTTTGTGTTCTCTAAAAGGCTCTGCTTGTCTTTGCTTCGTTGGGGAGCATTCATAGGCCCTGCCAAGGCGGATCAGGTTGGCCCACATCCCAGCACTTAACCCAGTCATGGTCGCGTGGTTAATTAATTCGCTGGTTTCATTGTCGAGGGAGTTTCCATTCACCTTTTGTTTTACTTGAGATAAAATTCAGATAAGGGGGGGGGGCGCAGCAGATGGTGTAATGGCTAGTCGCTTGACTCTCATGTACTCAAATGCAGTTCAAGTCCCAGACCTGGCAGCTTAAAACTCACACCAGGCGTGTGTACGTCAGTGCCCGAAGTCCTGAGAGGAGAATGGAGAAGGGATTGCAGCATGGCCATTCCCCTGGGAGGTGAGTTCTCCCTTTTCGTCTGCCTGTATCTGTCTCGCCAGTGAGTCCACACGCTCTATAGCAAAACTCTATCTCAGGACCAGCAGATGGCATAATGGCTCCGTCACTGGACTCCCATGTAGTCGACTGTGGTTCGAGTCCTGGATCCAGTGGCTTAAACTCACGCCAGGCACGTGTGTGTGCATGCCCAAGATCCCAAGAGGAGAATGGAGGAGAAGGGATTGTGGCATGTATATCCCCCCGGGAGTCAGTTTTAATTTCTCACTTTCTGTCTCTCTCTTTCTGGTGAGCAATATAGCAAAAACTCAAAACAAACAAAAAGAACTCTCTCTAAAAAAAGAGAAAAAAATCCAGATAACATAAAATTGGCCAGTTTAGTCATTCATTGGTTCCTTTTTTATCTTTTAGAGAGAGGTTTTATTGCTATAGGGCCCATGCACTCACCAGAGAGACAGAAAGACAGGCCTGGTGTGAGTTTCAAGCCACTGGATCCAGGACTGGAACCACAATCGACTGCTTAGGAGTCCAGAGCCTTAACCACTATACCACCTGTTGGCCCTCACCTGTTGGCTCTTAACTTGGAGATCTGTCGCTCCTAGCAAACGGCCTCTGTGCCTTGTGCCGAGTCTAACCGTCACAAACACCTGTGCTCTCACCACCAGCTTGCCAAGTGGCAGCTCGGGGTGCGTCCCCTGAGCTCCGGGGAGCCAGCTACCCCGCCCTCTGCCGCCTGGGCTCGCCTGCATGCAGATCAGTTCAACACGGAGGGTGGTACAGACACATTGCACACATGGGCAGAGGTGAGCCAAGGTGGCGCAAGCTGCAGACAAAAGCCACACCAGATCCCGCAGTGACACAGCGCCTCGGAGACCCCAATGCTAACCTGCTGAGACTCCCAGAATGCAGGGCCACTGTGACCCTGGGCAGGTGGAGGTCTCCGCTTCCTCCCCCGGGGGACGGCTGCTGGCTTTGTAGCCCTGTCTTCTTCCTCTTTTCCTACTTTTTTTAAAGAGTCTTTTTGTTTTGTTTTGTTTTGCCTTAGGGCTCATGCACTCACTGCAGAGAGTAAAGAGACAGAGACAGTAAGAGGGAAAGTGAGAAATCACCCCAGGAGGTATGGCCACATCACCATCCCTTCTCCTCCATTCCCCTCCCGGGGTCTTGGGCACACACATGTGCCCAGCATGATTTGCAAGCCACCAGGTCTGGGACTCGAACTGCAGTCGGCCATGTGGAATCCAGCAGCCCAGCGACATAGCTGCTATACCATCTGCTGGCCCCATGCTTTTTTTTTGTAGAGGTTTTTGCCTTAGGGCAGTGCATTCACTGAGGAGAGACAGAGACAGTGAGAGAGGGAGAAATCACCCCTCAGGGGGGTGGCCACCCCGCAATCCTTTCTCTTCCATTCTCTTCTCAGGATCTTGGAGACACACACACACACATGCCAGGCCTGAGTTTCAAGCCACCGGGTCCAGGGTTTGAACCACAGTCACTCATGCGAGAGTCCTGTGACATAACCACTACACCATCTACTGGCCCTTTCTCTCTTCCTACTTTTGTACAGTGTGGTGTAACCTCGGATTTCCCTTCTAACTATTTTAAAGTGTGTTCCTAAATAGCTTTTAACATGAGGGGCTGTCCAAAACTCCGTGGGCAAATCGCTGGAAGTACGCATTTGTTTTGGTGCCCCACGTTTTAAAAACCGTTTGTAGCGTACTTTCTGCGAACTTTGGACCTCAACCAGGGTCGACCATGTGGAAGTCCACCAGGGTTTGAACCACAGTCACTCATGCGAGAGTCCTGTGACATAACCACTACACCATCTACTGGCCCTTTCTCTCTTCCTACTTTTGTACAGTGTGGTGTAACCTCGGATTTCCCTTCTAACTATTTTAAAGTGTGTTCCTAAATAGCTTTTAACATGAGGGGCTGTCCAAAACTCCGTGGGCAAATCGCTGGAAGTACGCATTTGTTTTGGTGCCCCACGTTTTAAAAACCGTTTGTAGCGTACTTTCTGCGAACTTTGGACCTCGACCAGGGTCGACCATGTGGAAGTCCAGCGACAGAACTGCTACGCCATCTGCTGGCCCCTCCGCGCACTTTGGGAAGCCCTTTGTGTGTGCGTCGTGGCCTCTGCCACCACCCTCTGGTTCCCTGGATCCGCTCCTCAGTCGCCAGACTTTGTCCCTGCTGCAGCCCCTGGCACCCCGCTCTGCCCTGCCCTGCCTCTGTTCGAGTCTGGGCTCCCCCAGAACCTAACGCCACACGGCTGTGGGTCTGGGGCAGCTGGCCGGCCCACGTACTCATTCCTTCCCGGCTGCAGGGTACCATTGCCCTGGCTGGCCGTCCTCTTCTCAGACCCAGAAGGGAGTTCAACCAGGGTGTGCTCAAGGGGTAAGCTGAGACCTGGAGAGGAAGCAGTGGCCAAGCTGGAGAAGGGGGATCCGGACCTCCGGCTCACGATGGCATCCCTAGAGGAGGCTGTGGTCCTGGGAGCCCCAAGAGAACTCTGCTTTTTCTCTTCGGGTCATTCTTGGCTTTGTGGATGTCCCTCTGGGCCCTTAGGCAGGTCACTTCACCGAGGTCGTCTTAGTTTCCTCCAGGAGGTGGTCAGACCCTTCATTCCAGACCCCCTGGACAATGCCTGGCTCAAGACCCAGATGCATCCCCCACAGGCCCCCTCTGAGTTCAAAGAAATTTGAACCTGTGACCTTTCCAGGGAGAAGGCCAGGGCCTGGGTGGACGGACATGGCTGCTTGCAGGGGCATGAGCGCGCAGTGGAGTGGATGCTGGGTGACAGAAGCCTGGCCTGGGCGAGGGACAGCAGGCTCAAAGTTCTGGAAGGAGCCCATGGCTCCTCGGGCAAGGGCCCTGGGCAGGACCTGGCGGCCTGCGGAGGCCCTCCCTACATGACCACGACCATGACCCTCTGCCTGTCCCCAGGGATGGCAGCTGCCAGGCCCTGCCTGGGCCGAGTCCTCCCGGAGTCGTCCATCCTGTTCCTGTGCGACATGCAAGAGAAGTTCCGCCACGTCGCCTACTTCCCACAGATCGTCGCCGTGGCCGCCCGCATGCTCAAGGTGCTGCCGCCCGCCGGCCGGCATGGCCCAGCCCTCCACCCTCAGACCTCGCAGTCCAGGCCCGCAGCCCAGGGCCCGACCCAGCCTCCACCCTCAGACCTCGCAGTCCAGGCCCGCAGCCCAGGCTCCGGGCCCAGCCCACCCCTCCCGGCCCAGGGTCCAGCCCAGCCCTCCCCACCCAGCCCAGGGTCCGGGCCCAACCCAGGGTCCGGGCCCAACCCAGGGTCCGGCCCCCAGCCTCTCTGTCCCCAGCCCAGCTGGGTGTCTAGGACCCCAATCCTGGGCCTATGCCTAGCCCCTCCGCACCCTGCCCCCCAGCCCAGGGGTCCCAGTTCCCAGCCCCTCTGAGTGCGTTCCTCCCACAGACTCCAGCCTAGCCTCTCCTCCCTCCTTCCTGGGGGTCCAGGCCACGAGTCCCTTCTGCCTCCTGTTGCTTCCTCCTCGGTTCAGGTGGCCCGTCTGCTGGAGATGCCGGTGGTGCTGACGGAGCAGTACCCACAACGCCTGGGCCCTACAGTGCCAGAGCTGGGGGCTGAGAGCCTACAGCCACTGGCCAAGACCTGCTTCAGCATGGTGCCCGCCCTGCAGCGGGAGCTGGACAGCCGGCCACAGCTGCGCTCCGTGCTGCTCTGCGGCATCGAGGCACAGGCCTGCATCCTGGTGAGAGCCCCCGCCGCCTCGTCCTGACCTGCAGCCCTCTGTCCCTACAGAGCCCGCTGGCCTGTGGCTCCTCCTTCTGACCTAAACTCTTCTCTGGGGGTCCCTGCCCTGATCGGGCCTTCCTCTTCCCTGCTCTGGGTTTCCAGTTCTGACCAGATCCCTGGCCCCCGATTCCTCCCCTGAGCCCCTCTCTCACCCCCAGCACACGGCGCTGGACCTCCTGGATCGGGGGCTACAAGTGCACGTGGTAGTGGACGCCTGCTCCTCGCGCAGGTGAGGCAGCCCCTCGCGGAGCGGTGTGCGTGGGGACAGCTGGGGTGCCCGGACGCACTTCAGGGCAGTGCCCTGCCACGCGTGCCTGGCTGGGGTCCAGGCACTCACTGCCTGCCCTGCCCCACAGCCAGGTGGACCGGCTGGTGGCGCTGGCCCGCATGCGGCAGAGCGGCGCCTTCCTCTCCACCAGCGAAGGCCTCATCCTGCAGCTGGTGCAAGACGCGGCCCACCCCCAGTTCAGGGAGGTAAGAGGCGCCTCCCTCCGGGCCTCCCGCCACCATGCATCGGGCAGACACCTCTCCCGTGGCCCCTGAAATACACAGGGGCACACAGCAGGCTGCCACCTTCAGGGAAGCTCGCTTCTAGGAGCGCTGCCTGGCACTGCCAGGAGGGACCCCGAGGAGAGGCAGCAGGGACCCAGGACCTTAAGGAGAAGAAGGGGAGAACCCCGGGAGTCGGGGTGCAGAGGAGGGCATTGCATGGGGTGGCCCAGGAGGCTTCCTGAAGAAGGCACCTTTAGAGTGAAGTGAGGAGGGAGCCAGGCAGACCTGGGGCCCTGGGGAACCCCTGCAGAGAGTCCCCTTGAGCTCTCCCACACCCAGCCCAGGCCCCACCCTCAGCCTCTGCTCTTGTGGTCAGGACTGGGCACTCCTCTTCAGTCTTGGCCTCCACACCCACCCCAGGAGCGGCCCCCCAAGTACTGAGGCCTTACCAGGTACTGGGCCACCCTGTGTCAAACCCTGGCCCGCGGGGTGACTGGGGAACGTCTGAACTCGACAGTCCCAGGTTCTCCAGGTCTGCAGTCTGCTCCTCTGAGCCCATTCTGTCGGGCATTTATTGGACACCTGCTGTGAAGGGCCAGTCACGCTCCTGGAGTTCGCACCAAAATGCAGAGATAAAAACCCCATCCAAGTTTAGCTACAGCTTGCGACCTGGGGCTGGTCAGGGACCTGAGGCTGAGGAGGAGGAGCAGAGTGGTCTCGCAGGAGGGGCGCGGAGAACAGTTAGGGCAGCCACAGTGGGCAGAAGCCAGCTTGTCCAGCTCAAGGAACTGAAGCCTGAGCAGAGCTGGGGGTGTGGGGGCAGGTTAGCAGGCCACAGTGAGCTCTCAGCAATGGGAAGGGAGAGGGGAGGGAGGCAAGGGGACGGGCCAGAGCCGCATCCTTGCAGCCCTCTGGAATTCCAGCATGGGCCGAATTTTGCAGGAGAGCTGATCACAGTCAGACCAGCGGTGTCCAGAGATCTCAGGCACTCTGCAGCTTGAGGATCGGGGTGGGCATTGTGCAGGAGAGCAGGCCGTGAGAAGGCTCCTCTGGGCAGCTGATCGAGCGATGGTCTTGACCAGGGTGGAGGTGATGGGGATGGGGCTCTGTGTGTCATGGCGCTGTTTTCCTTATCGTATTTATTTTCGGGAGATGAACTTGGAGGGACTTGTGGATGGATAAAATGTGTTAGTGGCTCATGTGGATCTAGGAGGCAGCTGGATGCATCTAGAATTCAAGAGCAAAGCCTAGGCTGGGTTTGGGGGTTGGGCGCTCAAAAGAGGAAGGGGGAGATGAAGTTACTGAAGAGCAGGCTGTAGGGAAGCTCAGGGCAGAGCCACTCCCGGGACAGCCAGCGGGCCCACCAACATGCCAGGCAGCAAGGGCTGAACCAGGCGGGTGTGAGGAGAGGGCGCCCGGGAAACTGAGCAGCCCAGCTGCTGCCAAGAGAGTTGGGGAGGTGAAGAGGGACAAGTGTCCCTCAGATTTGTCATCTTGGAAATGGAACCTTGAGTGTTCCTGACTGCCACCACCCCCTCACAGATCCTGAAGGTCATCAAGGAGCCCGCCCCCGACAGCGGGCTGCTGGGCCTCTTCCAAGGCCAGAACCCCCTCATCAGCTGAGCTCCCAACCCTGCCTTGAGGGGAGACCACCCTTCTGCTACCCGGACCCGGCTGAAAGCCCTTTCCCCCCCACCCCAGGATCCCAAGAGTGGTGCAGTCCACCAAGAGTACGCCCCCTCGGGAGGGGAGGCGGGCTGCTGCCTTCTCATTGGGCGGCTGCTCCCGGAAATGCAAATGAACTCCTGGAAGTAGGGCGGGAGTTGGCTGAGCTGTGGTGGGGGCGGGGCTCGGCCCTGGGCCACTTCAGGTGGCGGGAGGAGGAGGGGGGAGGAGTGTCACAGACCGTGGGACCTGCAGTCCACCAAGAGTACGCCCCCTCGGGAGGGGAGGCGGGCTGCTGCCTTCTCATTGGGCGGCTGCTCCCGGAAATGCAAATGAACTCCTGGAAGTAGGGCGGGAGTTGGCTGAGCTGTGGTGGGGGCGGGGCTCGGCCCTGGGCCACTTCAGGTGGCGGGAGGAGGAGGGGGGAGGAGTGTCACAGACCGTGGGACCCGGACTCGCAGAATAAACATTGATGTGGCTGTGGACCGAACCATTCTTGGGCTCGGGAGTATCCCGGGGGCTGCGGGAAGGAAAAAGGGGTCCCCAGCAGGTGGGGAGGGGGCGGTGCCTCTCCGCTCCAAGCCGGCGAAGCAAAGGCGAGGGCTGCCCGCTGCCACATCTGCGCGGAGCCGGCGCGCATCTGCACGGAGAAGAGCGCCGGCCGGGGTCGCGGAGCACCTGCCGGCCGGCCCCGTCGGCACGCACACGCCCAGCCCCTCGGCTTGCAGACACGCGCTCGCTCTGCCTCCCCCAGCCGGCCCCCACGCCGACGCCACCCCCGACTCCCCCAGCGTCCCGCATCCGGAAAGCGAGGTGAGCACTACTGCACCCTGTGCAAAAGGGGAAGCCGAGGCCCGGGGCTGTGGGGCGGGGAGCAAGGGAGACACGGATGGGGCATCCGGAGGGAGGGGTGAATGGATGGAAGGACTGACGGCTTCAGCTCAGTGATCCCAGCTCCCCCAGACACAGGAGTTGGGGTACCACCCTGGGGCTCCCAGAATCCTGCAGCCCCCTTGGAGAGCTGGAGGTTGGAACTCTCTAGGTCCCCGACTCAGCCCCCTCCCCAAGATTTGCAGTCCTTGTCCCCTCCCCAACCTTGGGGAACTAAGAAGCCCACCTCTGGGCCCTCCAGGGAAGCAGGGGGCAGAGGTCTCAGTCACCCCCCACCCGCCACTGGGCTTTCGGAGCTCCCGCCGCCCACCCTGGAGGTTCAGACCCCTCCAGAAGGCCGGGCGGACCGGCGTCGGATCTCCCAGCACCCCCTCTCCCCAGGGACTTAGGAGTCAGCCTCTCCCCTCCTCCAGGAGCCCCTGGGACCCAGCATCAGCGCCCC